CTCTCTCTCTCTCTCTCTCTCTCTCTCTCTCTCTCTCTCTCTCTCTCTCTCTCTCTCTCTCCGATGCTAACCTGTGAAGGTGGCGCTTTGCTGCAGGTACCTCGAAGACGAAGCTGGAGCTATAGCGCCGCAGGTGACTATCCCTGGCCTCCGCCAACCATCTCTCTCTCTCTCCTACTAGTGCCCAGCGCTGAAGACTACTGCTATCGCTACTACTACTCCAGAGTGCCGCTGCCGAGTCCTGAACACTACCTCCTGCCCTCTGCACGTGAAGTGTCTGGGAACTGCCTGCAGCCTACAGGGCGGGTCAGCATCATATAGTGCTGGCTCGTCCGAGTGGCTGCTCGTGCCTATGCCAAAACGTGCCAGACCTTGGGGTTGATGCTCCACAAAATAGGCCATGATGGCCTGAGCTAAAACCCCGGTCTGGTGCCTGAGTTTCAGGGTAGGTCGATCTTGTGAGGGCCTGAAAAATGGCCGGTCGTTTTCAGGCTGAAGGCCGAAACGACACAGGGCCTGAAACAGGCCCTACCCCTACTTACCCTTAGTCTACCAGGTCGGGCTCTGCTGGGCCCGTGTGGTACGGAGTATGCCACACTCCCCCCTCCTTGAAAGACCGAGCTTACCTGCGAGGCGAAGCTGTCTGGTGGAGGGAGGGACTGAAGTCCGGGTGGGAGGCTGTGCAACTTTTGTCGCTAGCCGTTTCTTCTCATAATGAGCATAGATGTCAGGAGCGAAGGCTCGCAAAGCTGCCCGGGAAATCCATCGGGTGTCATCGGGGTCGCACCACTTGAATGCGACTTTGTGCTGCATAAGCTTGTTGCCGTGCTTGCGATGCCTGATGACTTGGTCGAGTTCCTGATGACCATCCATGGAAGGAGGGTCTTGTGATCGTCGTCCCGGGAAATCGTCGCTCTTGGCTGGTGTATATGTGGCCAGCTTGGAGGCGTGGAAAACCGGGTGCACTGTGAGATGCGGCGGGATTTCGATCATAAATGAAGGGCGATCGGGCTCATCGCCCACGGCTGATGTGACGGGCCATGGTCCAAACCACTTTGGAAGTAGCTTGCGGAATACATCCTGCTCGAGTGCGAACTCTTCTGTGGAGACCCAAACCAGGTCGTCGGCGCGGATGGGGCGTGGCACGCGGCGCCTGTTAGCTTGCTATTGCATGCGGACTTGAGCCTTTTGCATGTTGGCGCGGGCTTTAGCCAGCAAGTCCCTATACTTTCAAACGGAGGTGGGCAAACAAGCGGCATCAATGTCGGCAGTCCTTGGAAAAGGAAGATCAGCGAAGATGCGGCCTTTCCGGCCACCGTCGTGTAACTCGAATGGAGTCACGCCGATTGCCTGGTGCACCGAAGTGTTGTAGGGAAACTCGATGTCGGGGAGGCGGTCCACCCAATCCTTCCGATCCGTACGGATGAGTGTGCGAAGCATTACTTGGGCGGTTTGATGTGCCCGCTCCGTCTGCCCGTCCGTTTCCGGATGCCGAGCCGAACTTGGTTTCATCTCGGTGCCGGACTCTTTTATGAGAGAGGTCCAAAATGCCGACATGAACCGAGTGTTGCGGTCGCTGACGATGTCTTCCGGAACGCCGTGGCCGCAAATTCAGTCGGTATGTAAGAGGTGTGCAAGTTTCGGAGCTGTGGCGTGGTACTTGCAAGGAAGAAATCGTGCGTACTTGCTCAAACGGTCAACAACCGTGAGAATGTCGTCGTGCCCGAAGCGGTCCCGGGGGAACGGCCCAGTGACGTCCATGGCAATGGAGAGGCCGGGTTCCCGTGGAATAGGCAATGGGCGTAACTCATCGTAGGGGTTGCGAATGCGGGGTTTGCTTCGTCGACGAACTTCGCAAGAGTCGCAATACCGAGTGACGTCGGTAATGAGGTCAGGCCACCGGAATCGTTGCCGCAGTCTTGCGATTGTACGGTTGACTCTGAGGTGGCCGGCGAGTCTCGAGTCGTGGCACTCGCCAAGGAGACGAGTCCGTAAGCGACGGTCGTGTGGGATCCATAGTAAGTCCTTGCCTCATGAGTGAAGTAGCAGGTAGCCATCGACGATGCGATAATGACTGGCCGGTGGGTGATCCGAGGATAGTTGATCGTAGAGCGTGCCGTAATCCGGATCGGACTTGTATGCTCGCACAAAATGCTGAAGTAGGGCTTCCTCGAAACTGAAGGCGTGGTGAGTCACTGCGCAAAGATCTGATCTTCGCGAGAGAGCATCCGCGGCTCGGTTGGAGAGGCCCGGAATGTGTTTCGGTGTGAAGTCGAACTGATCAATGAAGTACATCCATCGAGCAGTCGTGCTGCTCACCGTGTCTTGCGTCTTGTAGTCGGTCAATGGGTTATTATCGGTCACCCAAGTGAACCTACGACGCCCGAGGAGGAAGTGTCGCCAACGCTTGAGTATTGTGAGGAACGCGAGCAACTCCTTCCGCGTATCATCAACCGAGTTGATGGGAGGCACCTTTTGGCTGAAGTACTAAACCGGATGCCAATCTACTCTGTCATGTTGTTCCAAAACTGCACCCATGCCGTAGCCGGAAGCGTCCATAGTCACTCTCGTAGGCAAGGTGGGATCGTAGATACTCAAGACGGGAGCGAAGAGCAACACCGTCTTCAATTTGTGGAACGAACTGCGGACTTCAGCGGTGAACTGGAAGGGCACCTGTGGAGACTGCAATCTGGACAAGGTGCGACGATCCGTGCGTATCCTCCGATGAAGCGTTGATAGTACCCGACCAATCCCATAAAAGAGCGAACCTTCGTGGTGTTCGTCGGTTCCTGCCAATCGCCAATCCTGAATGGCCTTGATCTTGTCCGCAAGCGGACTGATGCCTTGCGGCGTCACAAAGTGGCCCAAGTACTCGAGCTCTTGCTGTGCGAATTCGCACTTGGCTCGGTTGGCCTTGTACTTGGCCGTACGTAGCCTGTCCAAAACAGCACGTAGATGCACGACGTGCTCGTCCAAAGTTCGGCTATACACCAACATGTCGCGAAACTCCGTTGTCATTGCCGCTTGGAAGGTGGCCGGGGCATTCATGAGGCCGAATGGCATTACGACCCACTCGAAGTGCTTGTACCGTGTCTTGAACGCGGTTCTGTACCTATCCCTTGGATGGATCTCGAGCTGGTGGTAACCGGCCTTGAGGTCCAACTTGGAGAAATACTTGGCGCCGCCCAAGCGTTCGACAAGATCGTCGATGCGTGGGAGCGGGCCGACATTCTTAATGGTTTGAGCATTAAGCTTGTGATAGTCAATGCATAAGCGTAGCTCCTTGTTCTTCTTCCGAACGAAGAGAACAGGCGCACCGTAGGGCGAGCAGCTAGGGCGAATCCAGCCCTTGTCAATGAGGTCATCGAGTTGCGTTCGAAGCACTTCGAGTTTCTCCTCGTTCATGCGGTAAATACATCCGCGCGGAGGTACAGCCCCGTCTTCGAGGATGATCTCGTGACGAATTGGCCGATTCGGTACGATTCCGGCGGGGGCTTCAAAGACGTCGCCATAGGAGTCAAGAAGCTGTACAATGCGTGGATCCGGTGGCTGTTCCGTCGCTGGCTCGTCGGGAGGAGGGAGGGCGTGCAAGAAACAAATGCCCATTTCCTCCACGTCGTTCTGTGCGATGGAGTTGCAAATGCTTGCTGCGGAGACCACGTGACAACTAATCGAAGGATGAGGTGGGGGGACCGTACATGGCACAAGTACCCCGTTCCGGTCACGAACGTGAACGGTGCGGCAGTAGAAGTTCACCGGGTGGTCCTCGCTGCGCAGCCATGACATGGCCAAAATCATGTCAAACTTTGTGTCCAATATGTCGAAGGACACGGCCTCGCATGCAAGCGGGGCGAAGTACACGGGGACAGAGTCAGGTCAATGGACTTGTGCGTTCGACCGTCGGCCTACGTGACTTGCGTGGGCTGTGATTTCCTTCGAACGCGCGGCCCAAGTCCGACGCGGGTCATGAAATCTTGGCTGATGTAGTTGCGAGTAGCTCCACAATCAATCAAGGCGCTGCAGGTCGCCTTCCCGATTTGAATGCGGACGTAGAGTAACGGTGCGGCGGTGTCGTCGTACCGTTGCGTGGCGTACTTGTGGTCAATCTTCGCAATGTACTCACAAAGATCAACAACCGCTACTCCGTCTTCAATCAACGGAGCTGGTACTGCAGGATGCAAGTAGTTGCGTAGCTCCGCCATTAGGGCGTTGCAATGCGGCTTCAGCAAGGAACCAGATGGGGGAAGAGGCAACCATTGGAAGTCCTCCGGTGTCAATGGGTTGAGTTCCTCAAGTCTAGACCACACCGATGAGTCCCCGAGTGATGTTGGCGAGGATGCTGGTTCACTTGGTGATGGTGATGAAGTCGCGCACGCATAAGACTCTTGCACGTGGAGAGGTTGGTCCAACGGCGGGACCAGCTGGACAGCATAGTCTTCATAATCTTCGCGAAGACTGGCGACATACGCATGTTCCCCGGACGTGGAGGAGGTTGTTAGCAAGGCAACCGTGTCCGACGGAGTAGGAAGTGGAGTTGCCTCACTTCCCGCGAAGCTCAGTTTCCCGAGCTTTGCCGTGGACGGACGTCTTCTTTGCTTTTGTCAGGGCATTGCGACGTCGTATGCTTGGTGCTGTTGCACCAGTAGCAACAGTTCCACCTCTGGCGGAGTTTGTATTGCTCGTCCGTGAGGCTGAACTTCTTCCATGGCTCATTCGGCTGTCCGGCTTCCGTTGTTGACGCAGATTTTGCCTTCTTCTTGTTGTTGTTGTTGCGTCATGGTGGAAGGGCGTTGACTCCGTCTCCTTCACTGTCATCGCCTGGTCGTTCTCTTGTCCATTTCCTTGGACAAAAGCGACTTGCTGCGGCCGCGGGCCTTTGCCCTTTTCCACAAAATTTGGTTGGCTTCGCCGCTCGTTGGCTGCCCACCGATTCGTTTGGATGACTTCGCGTGCCTTCTCCACGATCTGGTCGAAGTCCGTGTACAGGCTGCGCTCCCTAAGGGTCGTGCTCAACGTGTCAACTGACCGCTGGAAGAATTCGCGACGAAGATGTACGAATGGGATGTCCAAATGCGGAATCGTCACGATTTTCTGCCACTCGGTTAGCCATTCGCGTGTTGGCTGGCTGCCTTGATGCATGCTGAAGATCCGGTTCACGCCTTTGCCTTGAGCGTCGTCGACGATGAAGCGTTTCCGCCACTTCTCGGTCATGGCGTCCCAAGTGATCTTGGTGTAAAGCTTGAAGACTTCGACGCCTTCAGTTTGAGCCAGGTGGTTGAGCCACACTTGGCTGGCACCGGTGCTGCAAAGGTAAAGTGCTGAGATCTTCGATTCTGACGGGACCGAGTGGATGGAGAGCTCATTGGTGAACCCTTGCCACCAACTGATGGGGTCCGCCTTGTGGTAGTCATCAAACTTGTCGATGCTGAACTGCGGCATCTTCTACTGTTTCGGTGTCAAGTTGTTGCAGGTCCCAGTTGGTTGCTGCTGCAGCTGATGCAGATCCGCTTGTAGGGCGGCTCTGCTGGCTGATGGTTGTCGGATGTCGGAAACTGTTCAAATTGCCGACAAGCGCGACTAGGTGATCCATTCGTTCTTCCAGCTCGCGGATCGATGGATCGATGTTTGACGATGCCGTGTGCCTGTGCGGCACGTCATCCTTCTCCAGCACGTCAAGGCGGGCGTGGAGGCTCTTGAGAGTCTCCTCGTACTCAGTGATGGTACGTGCCTGCCGAGCCAGCTCCACTTGTTGCCAGTTACAAGTGAGGATGACTTGGTGCATCATGCTGGCGAGAGCTGACTTAGTCTGGTCCTCCGTACTTGGTTCCGTCGTTTCCGCTGGATCAACATGCCATGCTTGGAGTGCGGCGGTATGAGTGGCTTCTTGCTGCATGAGGACAGATGCAGCATCTCTTGGGGCTTGGTTGTGGTTGGCAGCTGCGTCAGCTTGCTGCCGGCGTCGTTGCTCTTCTGCGCGTGCAATGGCATTGAGGCGTGCCGCTTCGGCTGCCGCCTCACGTTGATGTTCCTCTTGGACCTGCTGCATGTAGGTGCCCAGGCGGGCCAGGAAGGCCGTCATGGTCTCTCCTTGCTGCCGGACTGGTGCAGCGTCGAGGGTTCCCGCAGAAGTCGCAGTGGAACCCTCCTGCTGGGCCTGTGGGGCCGGGGGGTTCGAGCTGCAGGCCTCCCGTGGACTGCCGGATGCGGCATTGCCCACCGTGGGGTTGCCCTGGGTGTCCATGTCAGAGGGGTGGGACATAGGTAGCTGCTGTTCTGCTGCGGCTGCCTGCCCTTCTTGTGCTGCGATGCGGTTGCTGCGTCGGAGCATAAGCTGCAGTTAGCTGTACGGTGTTGATGACGCGGTACTGCTGACGTGGCACGGCTGAAGTGATACTGCACTGTCGTGACCCTGTAACTGACGTGGCACTGCAACTGTCGTGGCCTGCTGACGTGGCTGCAACTGACGTGGCACTGTAACTGACGTGGCACTTACCAAGCTGAGAAAACAGACAGGGGGCTGGGTGGGCGCGAAACACAGGCAAACAACCAAACTGCAATGTGCTTGCCGGCCCTAATCAACAGAATAACAACAAAAAAAAAAAAAGAAGCAGATCAACCCCTTTTTTTTTCTTTTTTTTCTTTTTGTATATCTGTCGATCTAATATCAGTGAGGCATTTTACGGGCAATGCTATGAGTGAGATCTAGGCACGGTAGGATAAAGGTTCGATTTTCAGTAAAATAAATAAATAAATTCAGTTTCCGAGACTGTGACAATCTCCTATTGTGCCTAGCAACGAAATGCTGATAGGCTTCGCAAAATTTCGGCTTTCAGGGGCCAACTTTTTGCGAAATGGAAAAGAGATTCGATTTTCAGAAAGGAATAAATTTCGTTCCCCGAATGTGACAACCTCCATCGTAACCCTAATATGCCTAGAAAACGAGATGCTCACGTCAGAAATTTTCGGATACTAATATCAAAAAAAGAAACGAAATGCTTCGATCAGAAATGTTCGGATATTTGTTACATCAAAGAAACGAAGTGCAAATATCGGAACTTTTCAGATAAAAACGAAACGTTATTATCAGAAATTTTTGGATATTTGTTGCATGAAAACGAAATGCAAATATTAGAAAATTTCAGATAAAACGAAATGCTTCTTATCAGAAATTTTCGGATATTTGTTTCGTAAAAAAACGAAGTGCAACTATCAGAACTTTTCAGATAAAACGAAATGTTTTTATCAGAACTTTTCGGATCTTTGTTGCGTGAAAACGAAATGCAAATATCAGAAATTTTCAGATGAAATGCTAATACCCGAAGTTGTGAAAGAAGAAAAAAGAAAAAAAAGAGATTTGCAGAGATTTTGATGAAACCCTACTTGATTTACTAACCAATCAATCAATCAATCAATCAATCAATCAATAGATCAAGCAAGCTGACTCCTTGATTGCGCGGATCTTGATGAAAAAGATCTGCTCTGATACCAAACTGTTGCATACCATAACGGTGCAGACCAGACCAAGAACCGACCTTTCTCGCCAGATACAAGATTGCACAACGGAAGGCTTAAATACCAATGATCCGATCAATCAAGCTGCCATGCAGACCAAACATGCATCATCATCATTCCAYGGTGTGAAGGGGACTGACGCTCACACATGAAGAATGCGTCAGTCCCTGATCATACACAGACGAAGAAGAGGGGGATGAGACGAAGGAGAGGGGGAAGATGGAAATGTCGTCAACACCAAGTCTTTGATACAGTCCCAAATAATCCCTCGCCAAAGGTCTGAATCCCGATGTTGAGTGTGAACCCAAATGTCGCCCATCTCTCTCTCTCTCTCTCTCTCTCTCTCTCTCTCTCTCTCTCTCTCTCTCTCTCTCTCTCTCTCTCTCTCTCTCTCTCTCTCTCTCTCTC